ACAGGTAAAAATCCTTTTCTCCCCATATATGATATTGCTTTCAACTTATTAAAAATTAAAACTACGGTACATTCACCACAGAAATATCACTTACCAACAGCTACCAACCATACTCTAGTATTAGCAATTCCATAGTTATTTCTTACTCCAAATGACAAACTCTATTTTTTTTTCTTTCTTAAAAGAAGATGTAGGATGGGGGAAATGAAAGATGGGAGACTGAAGAATAGTTTTGCAGCTAAACATTTCAGTAAGAGATACAGAAAATCAGCCAACAAATTGTAAGTTCTCTTTTGAACTACACCCCTACCGCGATATAACGCTGTTCTCGGGAGCCAAAAAAATCTTACCACGTTATAGGTGTACCGCGTTATATTGAACTTGCTTTGATCCACCAGAGTGTGCAGCCCCGCCCCCCCAGAGCACTGCTTTACCGCGTTATAGCCAAATTCGTGTTATATCGGGTCGCGTTATATCGAGATAGAGGTGTACCTGAAACTGTGGGTCTTCAGTTTAGCAAAACAACTGATTCGACTCCACCTATCATTTAGAAGTCTTCTCAAGTCACCTTTTGTGTAGTAATGTATGTATTTATTTTTTTAGTCAAATAATGTCCATCACTGAAGACAGATTAAGTTTTTTTTACATTAAAAATGCACTTGGTAGGAGAACTAATGGAGTATTGTATTAGGGGGAAAAAAAGGAAAAATTCCAAATTATTATATTAAAAATTAGGGAATTGTAATAAGTGTTGATGGAAGAAGATTATTCTCATTTAAAATTAGTTCAAAACATTTAACAGGTGGAGAACACTCATCTAAGGCATTTCAATTTTAGGAGGCAACCCTATTGAAACCACTCATCTATAACTAACAATCAAGCTCTGAAATATTTTCTCATTGGCAAGAATTTAAGACGTATTTATCAAATATATTAGTCTTGGAAATTTTGTATTTGATACACATTCTCAGAAAAGAAGTTGGAGAAGGAAAGAGAAGCTAACAAACATGCAGTGGCTAGGAGGATCCTCTTATCAAAGGTCACAAAGTATCAGAGCAACCTGCTTTTTTTAATCAATCATAAAAAGTTAATGCAATAAATTCATCTATAGTTTAACTCCACTGAAGTCAAACACTAGAGGTGAATTTGGCTCAATGTACCCAAGTCATTGTCACCTTCCCAGCATGCTGTTTCAGCCATGTGTGAACTCTGTTGATTTTAATCTGTTTAGATGACAACCTGCCATCAAAATTCAAAATTTTTCTGCCAACATAACTTATTCTGTAACATATTCAGAGAGGATAAGAGAAGCATGCAAGTTATTTAACTTATTTGAATACACACACATTGGCTCCATACAGTCTCCTTATAAGAATAAAAACTGCTTCCTAGTAAAACAGAACTTTATTATTAAAACTTTATATTTTAAAGACTTGGCTTTTCAATCTAATCAAAATTAAAATTGTAGGACTAGATCCCCCAAATCATTTTTGGTACACCACTCACTCCCTTCCTCATAACCAAAATCATATGTACAAATGTCAAACTGCATAGCCATATACCATGTATCAACCATGTTCACTAAAAAAAAAATTAAAAGTTGGGGTTTTTTGTATTTGTATTTTTTAAATTCAGAGAAGTTTTAAAAAAAAGCTTTTATAGTCAGATCCCTCATTTGCCAAATATGGCTGAGCAGATTTAATCTAACTTGATCATAAAAACGAAATTGTATTTTGGCTGCCAAGGTTAAGCTTGATAAATTAAATGGCAACGTATACAACCATTAAAAATTAGGTTTATAAATAAAAATGCTGACCATATCTCATCTATGGCAGTGCCAAGTGTTAATATGATGTAGAGGTGAAGAACAAGAATCTTTTTAACAAGTAATTTGACAGAATGCAGTAAGCAGAAAAATTTTTTTTTTTTTAAATCAGACTTTGGGGTAGGAGTGTCTTGTCAAGCAGGTAACAAAATCGTGTGTGTGTGTGTGTGTGTGTGTGTGTGTGTGTGTGTGTGTGTGTGTGTGTGTGTGTGTGTGTGTGTGTATAAAAACCTCAAACCTGAATTT